TGTGTGTGTGTGTTATTGAGCTTTGTTCAGGTATTTTCCCACGTCTTTATAGTTGTGCTTTTAAAGTTGTTGCAACGTTTCGGCAGAATTCTGTATTGTGTTCGTCTGTGAGTCAGACTTTCACAGCCGTTTCTGTTTTAAATTTGGTGCTAGCCTACTGCTGTGCCAGAATGGTGTTTTCTTCATCCTGATTGGTTGGGAGTCTTGGTCTGTGTTTATTGGTCTTGGAGTTTGTTGTTTTCTGCTTGATCGGTGTTTCTAATATCTTCTGTCTGTTTTGTAGCTTTTTTTGTCTTGATTAGCTTGGCTTCGAGTGGCCCCATGGAAAAGAAAACCTAAACAATTGCCTAACACACCTAAGCAGCAAGTTGATGCTATGACCTGTGGCTTTCATGTGTTGGACTAGTGAGGAAGTGTGTTCCAGCTTTTTTACTGCATTTTTGTGTTCATCTAGGCGGGTACTTATTCTTCTATTGGTCTGTCCAATGTACGTGGCAGGACAAGATGCACAGGGGACTTCATATATGCCTTGGTTTTCCAGGTCAATTTTATCTTTGGGATTTCTTAGGATGGCTGCTATTTTTCTGCCTGTTTTGAAGGCAGTCTTGATGTGATGCCTGTGTAGTATCTTACTGATTTTGTCTGTAGTACCTCTTACGTAGGGCAGGATAGCTTTCCATAGGTCTGTTCATTTTCTAGGTCTCCATTATGTCTCAGTGTGTTTTTGTGAATCAAGCCAGTGATTTTGCTTTTGTGGAAGCCATTGGCTGTCAGTACTTTAGTCAGGGTGCATAGTTCAGTCTTTATGTGTGTCTTGTCTGCCAGGCATTTGGTTCTAGCAATTAGTGTTTTGGCCACGGAGTTTATCTGTGCTGGGTGGTGGTGGGATTGGGCATTGGGAGATTACAGCACAAGACCCAGGATGTCACAACAATAGAACTCAGAAGGTCATCACACAGTCCATTACCCAGGTCGTTACAACACAGGAGGCTGATAGACACACAGCCAATACCTCAGCCACACATGTTCTTATGAAAAAGCCAGCCAATCTGCAAACATCAACTCCATCAACCAATCAAGAAATGACAACACAACCAACCTCCCCACCAGTATATATAGGGAGACGGCAGCTCTGATCACGCTTTGCGCACACAAGCAGGAAGCCGAATGGGACCTCGTCGAAATGTTGCCAAGATGCTCTCAACCTTACATGGGAAAAGACCCGAACATGCCTCGAAATAGCTTCACTCCACCATATAGAAACCATGACACCATTGTATCTGCATATTCTTTGGCATTGAAGTTGATATATCTTTGTCTCAGGGGCTCTCCACTCAGCCTGTTTGCTGGTGAGGTACCACAATAATTTATGGCTTGCAAGTGCAAAATAAAATGTTACCATTGTCTACCATTTAATTGAGAGAACCACTGGGCAATGAAGTAATGTTTGGAAATTATTATTTCCTTGGCAGACCTAACCAAACAAAACATCATTTTGGAATTTATTAACAGGCAAGATGCCAAGTGATGGAAAAGGAACCATCCAAATGGATCCTCACAATCTCCTGTAGTCATGAAAGACTCCCAGCCCTGTGAAAAGTTAAAGGATGTGGACTGAAAGAAGGGCCTCCTCTGTGATGGCCCCAACACTTTCGAACAATTTGCCACCAGAGATACTTGGCCCCCTTTACTATTGTCTTTTACTGTAAACTGGGTAAAATAATCTTCAATCAAACTTCTGAATTTTAGTGATGACTGCTTTTTAAAAACCTAGTTAACCTGGATTTGATTGTCCATGTGTTCTTGTATTCAGTATCTGATGGCTTTTATAGTATTTTATACTTATAAATGTTCTGAAATCCACAGATAAGCCTCATTTGTACTATCTACCATATAAATGAGTGGAACAAACAAACACATTCATAAGAAAGAGACTGTGTGCTGGACTAACCAGACATAGCAAAACTGCTATGCTATGATATCAGGGAGCCCAATGACTATGATAAAGCTTCAATCTTTATCATTAGTGGATTTTCCTCCCCAGATCTTTCTATAGGAGACTGCACGAATTAAATATTAGCAACAAATAGGTATTGGATTGGATTCCTTCCTTTCTAAAAGAAACATTCCACCTCTCCCTGCAAGGAATTTTAATAAAATTCTCCCTTTGTTACCTCAGGCAAATGGCAGTTTGAAGCAGCAAAATGGCCCCAGGGTATGGGTATTATCCAATAGGACTCACCTGCCTCAGATAGTTTGGTCTCTCCCGCCAGCTTCTGATTTGAACGCATGCTGGGTTGTAAAATTACTGCCAATTCAACAGAAGTATTGCCAAAGGCTAGGGTGGATTTCCCTCAGTGATATTAATTTCCTCCAACCTTATTGTGAAGAGGGTATTTTCTTGCCCGTTTTCAAAAATAATTTGGCATTGCTTCATTTGCCATTATCTTAAAAAAGCCACAGGTCCTAATATATAGCATTAAAAGAGGGTTTATGTAGGGATTGGGGATACAGTTATAGCTTAGTGTAATATAACACATATATACTTATACTATGTTAACATATGACATATTAAGTTGTGTTAACATATAACATATCAAGTATAGTTTCATGAGGGTGAGTGAGGTTGGTTTGAAGAAATTGTGATGTTTTTTATGTCCCTAAGGAACTCAGCCAATTATTTATATTAACTAAGGAAATAGCAGTAGGTTCAGTATTTTTCTTGTCTTTTGCAAAAAAATGTTAAGATTCAATTTTAGGTTATCTATTCCTTGCTGGCTAGGAAATTCTGGGAGCTGAAGTCCATAGATCATAGAGTTGCTAAAGTTGAGAAACACTGACTTATTTATTTATATCTCATCTTTATTATTTTTTTACAAACAACATATCCAATACATCTTTTCCCTCCTATTTCTTCCACAACAGCCCATGAGGTGAGTTGGGCTGGGAGTGTGTGACCAGCCCAAGGTCACCCAGCTGGGTTTCATGGCTAAGGCATAACTTGAACTCACAATATTCTGGTGCCTTAACTACTAGACCAAACTGGCTCTTAGTGATTAGGATTTCAGTATGAACTTGACACAGGTACAAAGACCAAAGGGTATGTCAATTGTTGAAATAGTCAAATAATATGAAGTTCTTAGATTAGGCAGGTCTAATATTCTGCTTTTACAACTGAATTTTCTGTTTGCTTCATTTCACAGCTGCAGCCCCTGTTGCCTCCAACTGAAGCTACTGAGTTCTGGTTTTAAATCTCTTTTTAAAAAACAGTAGCTGCTAATCAGGTCCTGTCATGCTTTCTATCAGCATTTGAATAGTAAATGCTGCGTAATATATATTAAAATATTTAAACAGCATATGTGATCAGGGTTAGGATTTTGCTAGCTCAGGAGATAAAGTGGGTTGCAGAAATGTACCAACTGAGCTAATGAAGAGATATGCACCATACTTTGTTGGGGGTTGCGGGGGTTGGATAGTAGTAGGGTGGGAGATCTCTGACTTGTAGCTATTCATGTTTTATCATTTCAGAAAGTATGCTGCTCCCTCACCAAATATGAGGCTGCTAAATTCTGCTGTTCCCACAGGTTCATCTTCTAGATTTGGACCTTGAATGAAAAGAATTGATGCCTTCCCTTTGTGCATTAAATTCCAAAATAGTTATTGTTGTTACAATTAGAGACAACAGGCCTTCAGCTGCTGCCTTATTTTTTGTGTCAAATTCCCAATGGTCCTGCCACTGGTTGGTGGCTATTCCTTGCAGGTTTCATGGGAAAAGAAAAGTCTGCTCTTGCAGTTGTGGGAGGAAGATTCTATACAAGCAGATGAAGTGTTTCATTGTTGTAAGGTAGGTTCACCACCTGGAAGATTGGCTTAGTTTGGGTGCTTGTTCCCCAAATTAAATTAAGAGGGCATTCCAGAATATATAAGGCATTTTCTTGGTGTACCATAAATGGCCAACTTTCCTAACCCAGTACTTCTCAGATCACTGTCAACAGTTAGCATCTTGGCTTGACCTTAAAACTTCAGTTTGCCATTCAAACTAAGGGCAACCCTCAGATTCAAAACAATGGTACGGTCTCATTCATTTTAAGGAAAGATCAGAAACAGGAAGTAAGATTTGATCTGCCACTACTGACCTCCTCAGTGAAAAGGTACTGAGTTGGGAATCTTTCCTTCTCAGCAGTTCAGCGAAACAGGCCCTATATAGGACCTAGCTGTGTTTGAACTAAAAATCCCAACATTCTTTACCATTGATTATATTGATTACATCTGCTGGGAGTTGTAGTTCAGCAACATCACAAGAGCTGAAAGAAGCATGCGTTTGATGGCAGTGCTGGAGAAAAGGTAGCCTTTCTGATTCATAGGACCAGAAGCTGGAGTTTTGTTGCCTAAAGCATGGATGAGATTGACCTAGGGCTAGAAAAACACCTGTTCCTGTTCCAAGAAATAGGGAAAGCACTTTCAAACATATACTGAGGGGTAAGCAAGAGAATTGCATCAAATTCCCCTCAGGGGAAGCAATCAACCACCTGCAGTACATATGCTGTGCTACAGATTTTAGATTTTCAGCCAATGGTGGCAAGGGGGGTGGTGGAAACCTCTACATAGCTTTGAAGTACAGCACCTAATAATCATCTACAATTAAAGCAAATGATTTTTTTAAGAATAAAAAAATCCTTCTTGTCAGCTCTGAATTATTATTTGTTTATGCATAGAGGCAATGGTGGGTAAATTAATTGGTAAGCTTACATAGATTTTGTGTCATGTAAGCCTCCAAGCTAAGCAATTTGAAGGTAGCACTTCAGTTCAAAGGCACCTTTAAGATAAGTTGAAGATATATTTTTTTATTGCTGCCAGATATAACCCAGCCCAGTAACGATCTGATTCTTAATTACTTACCTAATTCCAGCCAAGCCACCTCCACATATAAATGTGTGTGTATATATAGAGGGGAAACCAAATCTGCACCTCGGAGTGGGGTGTACTGTCCTTCTCTCTCTCTCTTTTTATTCCTTCCTTCTGTAGCTCAGCTTTTGCTCAGCTCTCTTTAGCACTCTTTGAATTAGGCACAATGAGTAGGCAATTCAGTTCTAGATCTGGGGGAGGGATTAGGACTTCCCGGGGATATACCTCTTCCACTACTGTCATTCCCAGTGGAACCAAAGCTAGTTTCAGCTCAGTTTCATTATCCCGTGGTGTGAAGGGAAGTGCAGGATTGGGTGGGGGCTTTGGTAGTAGAAGCCTCTACAATCTCGGGGGTGGCAAACGGACCTCTTTAGGAATCAGCCATAGCAGCATTGGAGGAGGCTTTGGGATTGGCCTAGGATATGGTGGTGGCGGCGGTGGTGGTGGAGGAGGATTTGGTAGTGGCTATGCATATGGAGCTGGAGGTTTTGGTTTAGGAGTAGGAGTAGGAGGCTATGATGGTGGACTAAGAATGGGGCCCATGGTTCCTCCTGGGGGCATCCAGAAAGTGACTGTCAATCCCAACCTCCTATCACCACTGCACTTGGAGATTGATCCTGACATTCAAAAAGTGCGGCAACAGGAAAGGGAACAGATCAAGACCCTCAACAACAAGTTTGCATCCTTCATTGACAAGGTGAGTCCATTAAGTCAACCATCAAGTTCTATGCAGGTAGTCTCAAGGATGAAGTCTGTGAATAAGATTGCAAGATGGAAATGGATACATGAGCCATCCAAGTGCTTCTTGGATGAAAATGAGGACAGATATGAGTGTTCCAAACCAAACATTTAATTTCTGAAAAGACAGATGGAGTTAAAGTAATACTTTGGCAGTCAGGAGATTGCATTTAAGGTTGCATGGCTGTCCAAGGCCTGCAAAATTTCAATGATCATGCAAAGTAGAGAGAGCTTTCTGGTTTGGGGGTTTCTTAAAAATAATAATAATAATAATAATAATAATAATAATAATAATAATAATAA